CTTTCGAACAAAGTTGCTTCTTGTTAATGGTTTTAGAACTTTAGTTTCTCCCATTCAGTAGTTCCTTGTCGCCTCTATAAAATTTGAATACTTTTATTGTTCTATCATAAAACTTTCCCCCTTCTCTTAGCAGAATTCCTAGATTATTTATCAAAAATATGCATTTTCTCACTTTTCCATTTTGATCAGATTTTAAGGCATCTTGTTTTATGGTAAATAAACAATTAATTCCATTATTAAAAATTCATTAATAATTATAGCTACATATGCGTATATTCTGTATTCGAATTACGCTGAAATTTAGGCGATAATGCTTATGGCTAAGTTTTGCTTGACTTGCTACCTTGGTTAACGAATCCTTTGAAACGGTTATGCATTATGATGAGTACTAATTTGCAATATTTGCTAAGCGATGCTAAACAAAACGAATGGCAACGGCTAGTTTTTTGCGAATGTGCTTTTTTTCGTGAACTTGCTGATCATTGTCCAGATGTCTGAAAAACCTTATTTAAAATGGAAGCCATGCCGTATACATTGTGATTTTCATGCGTAGCATCATGAATAAATTTTATTTTACATACTGGTCACAAATGCAAATAGTTGGATCTGGTCCATATGTTCAAATTTGTAATCAGTGTATCCTTCCTCCGCAGACTAAATCTTTATAAGAGCATACTGAGATGTTACCATTGCTCTTAGCTAACCCTTCGCCATTCGACACAGGCTTTTTTAACTGCAGTAGGGATTACAGAAAATGCAAATTTATATACATGGTGCTATTATTTGATATTAGATTTCTCATGTTACTTTCTCCGCGCGTTAAGTATCGAAGGCTGATTGGGAGAAAATAATTATGGGAATGAAGTCTTTATTTCAGGAGTGAATTAGTTTCTGTTATCAAAATACATTTCTACCTGCGAAATTTAACATTTTATCCATAATTAATTAAATTAATTTGACAGGTGCTTCGATTTGACTCCTTCTCCTACTGCGCAAAGTTTCTCAATAGTTTGGAGTTGCTACTCTACCGGAATAAGAAGACAGTGAATCTGAGTCACACTGATACGGCTCGACTGCTATCGACGGCAGAGACGATTGAGATTCGCAAACAGAAACTCGAACAGTTCTTTCGTGAAGCCTATGCTAAAGTACAGAGTTGACGATTTTATAGCTAACTTACAACGTGAATTCGTTTCCAGGCCTTTGGAATGCCAGATACGTACAGCGATTCTGATGAGATGAAAAAGTGCTCATCAGAAGCAGTCCTTCGCACTACGCTTACACGTGCAGAGTTTGCTAATGCACTTGGCATGGACGAGGAAGACCTGCTGATTCAGCGTTTGTTCTCCTGCGTGGCCAGGAGCAACCCAGAGAAAATCTGTTTCCAAGATTTTCTTAATACTGTCATCAAATTTGCGAAAGGCAGCGTTAAGGAGAAATTAGAAATCTTTTTCGCGATGTGTGACCGCTCTTCTTCTGGTCAGGTGGACAGAGAAGAATTTTGTTCATTCATGAGGTACATTACTTGATCAGCTTCGTATAGGAAGGTTTTTCTGTGAATTTTCAATCTAATGTTTGCAACACACTCCTCTGAGGTTGTGATTATTCGTTCAACTAATCAATTGCTTTAGAATAGGAAGAACTTCGTTTTTCTAGTATGTTCAGAATATATCTTTTCAATATTTTGCTGCACTGACCCCTAAATTTTAGACGTACTTTTGGCCTGCCAGAATATGCTGACACCATTGGATTTACTGAACTACGCATATTGCAGATGATCTTTTCTGTAAAAAGTGTACCCGAGTATTTAAACGTTTAGGTTATATTTGTTTAAGCATGTGAGATATTTCATTTATATTTCAGGTATAAGCGGGTGCTTAACAAATGTGCAATATTTAGATTGATATGAAATTAATATGTAGTTGGCTTGATTATGGACTTTTTCTCCCCTTTCATTGACATAAAATAAATCAGTATCATCTTTCCTTTGAACGGAAGATGACTTTGCAAATTCATTGAAATCTTACTACAGGAAAAATGAAAAATGGCATAAAACACGGTTTACTTATGCACAGCACAAAAGATACTGTGGTTAGACGGGTGACTGACATATGCCGACTTTTCGACCGCGTCTCATAGGCCTTCTAGGTAGACTGGTGGTGAAGTCTGTTGAATGTAGTTGGTTGTCCGCAGTACTTGATAGTTTCGGAACCAGAAAGCAAGCTTTTGGTCCGTGCTGCTGATTGAATAGTTTCTGAGTGACGGGTGCTACGAGATTCATCCATTCCTCATAGAGTTCGTATTTTTTGTCATGCTTGAAGTTTCCGCAGGCTTGGATGATTAATCTCAATTTATTCTGCCTGCGGAGCCAATGTCTTTCTTTGATGATACCGCTACAGGAAAGATATTATAAAACTTTGTATAATGAGCTCGCGATTAGTTTGTGCTTGCAAGATCATTTCTCCGTTGAAAGCTTGTTTTTAATAAAAACAGTATGTCTCTATGCAGTAGTGAAGAAAATGATTTACTCTTGGTTCAATCTTTCGTTTGAAATAAAACCAAAGGTATTTTAGCATATATATGTATGCTAAAATACCTTTGGTTTTGTTTCAAACGAAAGATTGAACCAAGAGTAATCACTTTCTTCACTACTGCATAGAGACATACTGTTTTGTTTAAAAGCAAGCTTTCAACGGAGAAATGATCTTGCAAGCATAAAATAATCGCGAGCTCATGGAGTGCTTGCTTCAATTCTGGTTGTAATTGAGTAAAAGATACTATTTAGAGAAGGCAACGCCATGTTATACTCATAAAAACTACACATCGCTTTGTGCGCTGAAGACGATTCTAGTTTTCTTCCAGCAATGCTGCGTTGAATTGCATTAGCTACCTATTGCTCCTTCACTGTCAACATTGTCATACATTTAAATGCATGCAACACGGTTACGAGGTTAGTCTCATCAAACCAATTATATGATTACGCAGTACATTTCAGACTCTGTTTATGTTCTACGTAAAATGCAAGGTTTGCTTTGGCATCCACTTTTATTAAGTATTGCCTGTTACTGTTCATGTGTTATGAGAACATTTTCTTAGATCAATCGTTACAAGTGCAGGTACATGCTTGAAGCCTGAAGATCAGCTTGATTTGATTGAGAGGATTTTGCTCAGTTCCGGAATTCCTATCTCCAAAAGATTTTTAACTCCTCAGGATTTTGAAGCAATACTTAGCGAGTTCAGTAACATTGGTTTTCCTCTTGGCGAGATGACAGAGCAGAACTTGAAACCGAATATGGAGACGTAAGAACAACATCTCTTTTGCATCAACTGATTTACTTGAATATTATAGGCTTGACCGCACGGCAGCTTTGTCTGTACCAGTAGAAAACAGTGGGTTCACGTGGAAGAATGCATTCAGGAATGCAACTACATGGTTGGAGGATCGAAGGCAGCACATCACATGTTTATTTATCTTTTATGCTCTTTGCGCAGCGGTGTTTTTCGAACGATTCTGGTGTAAGCATTTATTCAGTTTTTGACTATTAAATTCGTTAAAAAACTGGATTACGCCGTGAAACTTCAGTTAGATAGAACTTTCCCATTTAACCTTCTTTACCAGGCGTTGGCAGAAATGGAGATGATGGGCTAAAGTTGCACATTTTCTAGACGCAGCTAAATTCCCCGTTTAGTAAGGCTGTACTGATTCCTTGAATTGTCTCTGTATATTCTCGTATTATCTGCCTTTTTCTGTTTCTTTTAATGTATTCTCTGGCTCCATATTTATGAATTCAATTTTTTGCTCTTGAACTTTCCCTACTCGATATGCCGTACAGTATACTAGCCGTAGATAACGATTGGATCACACCGCCATAGAAGGCCTTTCAGCCGCATTATCAGTTACTCTGAAAAGTCTGACATTAAATGTACACTTTTGCATTTAATAAGAAAAATTTTTTCACATGGTGTTTTACCATGCCAAATTTACGACTCAAGGCGGCTTTACATTTGATGCTTTAATCATGTTACTTGTATCTGGTTTTAAGAATTCGATCTTTTTCTGACCACATGCATTAAGTTTATTCAGTCACGGGAAGCTGCAAACACTTATTGACTTACTGTTGTAGTAGCGTATTTTGACTGTAGTGTTCTCTTATAGATTTCAACGTCATGTCGGAACACCGAGATCTACGACGCGTTATGGGTTTGGGCATTTCGTTCAGTCGTGGGAGTGCAGCTGGTATATCGTTGTGCATGGGTGTCATTCTACTTACTGTATGCCGTAACGTTATTACTAAAATAAGGGAAACACCCATTGGTCAGTACATCCCATTCGACTCGGCAATTACATTTCACAAAATTGTTGGAATTACTGCAGGAATTTTCTCTGGTATGTCAAATGCCTCTCAATCGTTCACTAACAAATATTTTTCAAGCTATCCATTCTGCTGGTCATTGCATAAATTTCTATCACATATCAACTCAAGATATTGAATGCCTACAATGTTTATTTCAAGAGGCGTTCTTTAGGTACATCTTTGCATGCGAAGTGATTATTTATATGGGCTGACTACAGCGCCAACTTGTATTTCAGCTCTGATGTTAAACCGTCGGTCAGCTACTGGTTGTATGGAACAGTGACCGGAGTCACCGGGATCTTACTCGTCGCCGTGATGGCAATTCTATATGTTTTCTCTGTTCCTTCCGTGCTCAACAATGCTTATCACGCCTTCCGCGTTACCCACACGCTCAACATTGCCGTTTACGCGTTAACCATCATCCACGGGCTGCCAAAGCTTGTGTCGGTGAGCTTTCATTTAAATTTATAAGTGACTTGATAAGCTCGATAAGCTTTTTAAGATAATTTATAAGTGATTTTATAAGTGACTTGGTTCATTCATTCCTAAATCATGATTCATTTTTGAATGCTTTTTCACTGGTCTTTCAATGCCTAATAGTTTCCTACAGCTGATCAAGAGAGAATGCCTGTATTGTTTGCGTAAGATCGAATTTTTGGGATCTTTCGACTTTCAAAATGAACATGGCTTTTGAAACACTAACCTGCTCCTCGAGGTCGGGATGGAGCACATTTTTTAAAGCTGTCGAAAGCCATTAAAGGCTGTGTTTTTACATCAGGACATCAAGATTTAATGTAGAATTCACAAGTTTCTTTGTTGCTTGATACGGCTACGCTGAAATGCATCTTCATCTCATGACTGGATACTGTATTATGTTATGGAATGATAGGGTTCAGTTTTTGCCAGCTTGCGTTGTACTTTGATTCTTTGTAGTAACACCGTTGCTACTAATTGCGCAACAGTCTAGTATAAGCGCACTTTCAACGATTACTAATTAATGATTGATTGAAGAAGTATCAGGGCAGCTGAGTCAGTGCGGTATTGATTACTGACATTCTGACCAAACGCTTTTCCTTAAGTCCCGGCCGGGTTTAGAAAAGAGGGTGAAACAGCTTCTACCTACCCCACAGACCTGCCACAGACTCTGAGTCAGCCAAGAGTATCCTGGGGCACGTGCGTAGAAGGACTCTGCTCCAACTAGGATTATCGTCTGCCGAAGCTGAGTCTTCTCTGATAAAGGATCGGAAACGTAGGAGACATTGTGTGACGTGTCTGTCTTCGCGACGCAAAAGGATAAGCGGTCATCGAAAATAAATGACTGATTTCTTTTGTAAAGGATGAATGAAATCAAATAATGCGTATTAGTGTTTGTTGGAAATGATTCTTTCAAACGCAAACATTTAAAATCTCTAATTTCCACCATTTACAATCTGTTCTAATTAAGCATATAATTAAATTAGAAAAGTTTTTCGTATTCGCTGCTATCAGTATAAGTATAAAAAATACTGTTAGCTCAAAAGCATATTTCAGTCAGTTCCTTAAGAGGAATTCAGTGAAAGTCTGTTTTGAAATTTTAGGCAGCTCAAGCGAAATAATTTTTATGTAGACTATTATTTTCAGATGATATCGTTTTGAAGTGATAGAGAAGCCAATTTAAGGCGAAAGTATTACTAAAACTAGCAAATCACATAAAACAGATTATAAATAGAGCAAATTGGCACGTTATGTAG